GGGGGGGGGGTGGTAGATTAAAAAATAAAATATTAATAATTACCAACTAACCAAACGATCGAGCGACCCGCGAATTACACTAAATTCAAAAGCCGCCAGCCGAGTTGTAAATCTGATTTTATTAACCTCATTCATTTATATTTACGAGCCCTGCAAACGAAGAGAAACCGCACGCTTTTCTCTCATCTTTCCACACACACACACACATAGAGTGTGCGAGAAAAGGTAGAAAAATGAATGAAAAACAAGTTCAAAATCGGGGTAAATAATTTTCGCGCCGCACCGGAAACATTAACCAAATGAATGCGAGTCTAATTAATAAGAGAAACATTAACATTTTTAACCCTCTTTAACCGCTTTTTCTTCCTTTCGCTCCGCGATGATCCATCCTCGTTGCCATTATCGTTCTTATTTTTATTTTTTTTCCCTCCTCCTCCTCCTCTTCTTCGACCGAACGCTTTACACCGTGTAAGACACAGAAACACGGAAACCCCCCTCGGTGATCACGACTGATTTATATTTGCTCCGGCGCATTTTACACCATTCACTGTTTTATCTGCCATCTCCTTAAGCCTTTATGTCCGCCCTGGTAATGAGCTACGAATCGCACTCGTACATACACACACACACATACACACAAACACCACGAAAAGAAACCGACCTATTCATGTCGAAACAATTAACAGTCAGAGAGAGAGAGAGATTCGCATCGCAAACTCTTTTTATTTTCACATTCTTTATTATTTCTTCACTTGCTTTTTCTTTTTCTCTCAATATACGCCAAATACCATGACTGTCCAAATATATCATAAATTGCAGCGTGAAAAGAACTGACTCAAGTCAAATCAAATTACCCAACAATATCGTTCATTAAATCGATCGATACTCTTCAATATTGTTCTTGTACTTATTTATTGATAGTTAAAGTCGTTATATCATTTGCATCAAGAACGCATATAACAAAAAAAAAACAAAAATAAACAACAACAAGTAAAAGACAAATGCAAGTATTGATCATATATCAATATAATTGTCGTCGTGGAGACGACCATAATGATGTTTGCGAGTTGCGATTGTCGATTGTGCATGTAAAAATAAACTGGTAGAATTGTGACAGGGGGCTTGATCGCAATTGAACTGTAATCTGCAAAACAGCAATTAAAACAACTGTCGCCAATTAATATTCACCCGAGTTGTTATTTTTAAATGAAATGTTTACGTGGAGGAAATAAAGGAAATTAAATTAGTATGCTAAATAAATAATTGAAGAACAATTAAAACACGTCCATCCCTCCCTCTGCCACCTCAGCAATAATATATTTTAATAACATTTAAAAGAATGGAAAAAAAAAAATCAAATAAAATTAAAATAAACGTTGAACGTGCGTTGCAAAACACGAAATTACGCGTTCATTAAAACTTTTAATTAGAATATTTTTACACCTTTTGTAATTAACCAATCATCGCTATTTATTTAATATGTATATTACTTATATTATTTTTATTGTTATTATTATTATTTTACGTAATAATTAAATTGGAGGTTCATTAAAACAAGATGCGTGATTTACTTATTATGCATTTAGTCGATAAAAATATGTTCGAGGCACGAAGTAGCACCATTTTTTATTACATTTTTATGTTAAATTGTGTCATTAATGTTTGCTCTAACTAGAAATGAATAAACACCCCAATTATAGATTGTAATTAGAATACATATAAATATATATTTGTATTTAGAATGCGTTAATTGACAAAATCAAATTGAACGTGTCAAAAGTAAATGAGTTGTGATTTGTTTTTATTTATTAGAATCGTGGCAGATGCAGGATGCAAGAAGGTAGAAGAAGGGTAGAATAAGTGGGAGGATGAAGGAGGAGGGGTGTGTGTTCATGTAACGAGTTGTCATAACGACGTGATTTGGATTAAGGTTTAATTAAGTTCAGTGAATTGTTGTGTGTGTGTGGCGGAAAGGGGGTTTTGAAGAGGTCGTCCATTAAATAAAGCTGGATGAATGGTGGCGGGCTTTAATTAAAATTGCGATGTCATTAGGGCAACCCTTTTTCGTGGCCGTTTTGGAAGTCGCCGACGTCCTCTGAGGATCATCGGCAGAAGTGAGCAGTTGGGTCGTCCCGAAGGGCCCAAGCACCACCACCACCAGCAGCAGGAACAGCAGCATTTTTATACTCTCTGGGCTATGATTTATATTGGCATTAGGCCACTCCGCGCTAACCTAACCTGATTTGTTCTATACAATAATAATAGAGTCTGGCTGGTAAATGGGAC